AAAGAATGTAAATGGAGTTCAATTCTATAAACCCAAATATTGAAATTGACACTTTTCAAATTTTATAATTTTGTAGTTTAAAATATAAAAGTTGCTACCATTGAGCCCTGTTAAAATTGTCCAGTAGATTCACATGTAAATTATTTTTAATTTTCCTCATGTTCTTGGAAACAGATGGTATAATTTTTTTCAGAAAAAATAATGATAATATTAAATGTAGTGGAGGCATTTTTAAATATGAAAATATATGGAATTGCAATTTTGTGTGAAAAAAAAAAAGAACCTGTGTCTGAAAACGGCTGTTACCTAGTACCTTATGTGCCCCCTCGTGTGGGATAACTATGCTACTTTTCTGAACAATTCAGAAAAGCTCAATTGTCCTGATCTTTCTTCTACTTTTCTTTAAGCGGGGTTTCCTTTCCACTTGGGGCTTTCCTCGCATTATGTTGGGCTTCCTTTCTCTTCCTCTAAAGTTTCTCCCGCTGCCATGGGGCTGCTTGTCCGCCATGTGCCTGACCCACATGCCACATTAAAATGGAACGGCCCTCTTCCTCTTCTTTCCTCTAATCTCCTTACAGGCAACTGCTGAAGTTTTATGTCCCACCTGCCTGGGGGTTTTTCTCTAATAAAATTGTCTTGGAGCTTTCAAAAAAGAAAGAAAAGGAGAAAGGAAAGGACTGTTCTATCATCCCATAGGAAGTGAAGAGCTGGAGTGTGGAAGCTGAGTAACAGTCAAAGTGGAAAACAGTTTAAGGGACAGCTGACCCTTGATGTTCCATATGACTGAGATTTCGAAAAACGTGTTTTTAGTTTTAAATAAGCACAATATGTTTACTAAATAAATATATGAACTTAAAAATATGATACCCCTATACCATATATAGTTGTAAAATCACTCTTGTTGACAAATTCATTCTGTTGTATTATTGTTGAGGACGGTGAGATAAGGCAGTGGATAACTGTATAGCGCTCTTGCAGAGGACCTGAGTTCAGTTCCCAGCACCTGTATCAGGTGGCTCAAAACCACCTGTAATTTCAGTTCCACATATTTTAACACTGTTTGGCCTCTGAGGACTCCTGAGCTCACACAGGCACACAATGTACTTTAATTATATTTCCTCTCACTCTCACCACACAACTCCTCCCATACCCCTATGTGTAGTCTTCAAATTTCTTCTTCTTCTTCTTCTTCTTCTTCTTCTTCTTCTTCTTCTTCTTCTTCTTCTTCTTCTTCTTCTTCTTCTTCCTCCTCCTCCTCCTCCTCCTCCTCCTCCTCCTCCTCCTCCTCTGCCTGCTCCTCCTCTTCCTCCTCCTCCTGCTCCTCCTCCTCCCCTTCCTCCTCCTCCTTCTGCACCTCTTCCTCCTCCTTTCTCTTCCTCATGTTCCTTCTCTTCCTTCATGAATTAAGTTCAAACACAGCTACCTATACATGAATGAGTGTAGGGCCATCACTCAAGCATTGACAACTTGCCAGGTGCCACAGTCCTGAAGATAACTGACCTCACATCACCTCAGCAGCCATCACCTTCTCCCATCCCTCTTGGAATTTGATCTGGTTTGATGTTGTGCAAGGTTATGTGAGGAGTCACAGCCCTAGTGAGATCATGATTGCCAAGGCCCTTTCATATCCAAAAGACACCTCTTTGCAGCATTCCTTGACCTTACAGCTATTCTGCTCTGTTTTCTGCTTTTTCTTCTCTTAGCTTTAGCCAATAGGATGTGCTATAGTTCTCACATTTAAGGCTGAACCCTCCATTATCACTTATTCTCTGTTCTGTGACCAGTTGGGGGACTTTGTATTAACTTCTTACCAATGAAAATGTAACTTCTCTGGTAAAGACAGAGTGCTGCTACATTATGGGCAGAAGGGTAAATATTTGAAGGTGGTTTGGTACTGTCTACTTAGCAATGAAAGAGTAGTAGATTATCTCCTCAGGGCTATGACCTACCCAGCCACAGATAATTTCTCAGAATTATTCTATAGGCAGTGAAGTAACACTTTTCAAATTTTATAATTTTATAGCTTAAAAGATAAGTGATGCTGTCTACAATTGACTTCCTCTTGCAAAGGAAAAATTAGTTTCCCCCATGGAGTTTCAATAGAGATATTAACCACACTTAAGGTTAGACCCCAGGAACAGCAGTAGATGCCCAACCAACACAAACTCCATGTTACTTTTGTAGACATTTTTGGCTCATATTGGTTTCTTTGGGCATTTTTTTGTTTTATTGGTCTTTGATTATATATAATGGTTTCTGATTTTATGTTTTTGTGGGTTTGTGTGTTTCTTTCATTCCTTCCTTCCTTTTCTCTTTCCTTCCTTCCTTTCATTCTTTCTTTACCTGTTTCTTCTCTAAAGAGAGAGAGAGAGAGAGAGAGAGAGAGAGAGAGAGAGAGAGAGAGAGAGAGAGAGAGAGGAGGTAGAGTTGGGTGAGTAGGTGAAAGGGAAGGCATGATTAGAATATATTGTGTGAAAATATGTTTTTGTCAATTAAAAAATGTGAGAGACCAATACCAAAATGGCACTTTTGTCGAATACAAAGCCATATTAAAACTAAAGCATAAAATAAAAATCTTTTTCTTTATATTCTTTTTATTAAAGTTGACAAAACTTTTGGTTGACAAAGTTTTATTAATGGCATACAACGCAGTATTTTTGTCTTTTTTATTAAGAAATATTTTATTCATTCCACATAGCAACCACAAAAGATCCCTCCCTCATCCCTCCTCCCGCTCCCCCCCCGCCCCAAACCCATCTCCTACTCCCTCCTCCAAAAAGGTATGTCTTCCAATGGGGAATCAGGAAAGCCTGGCCCATTCAGCTTAGGCAGGTCCAAGCCCCTCCCCCTGTATCAAGGCTGTGCAAGGTGTCCCACCATAGGCAATGGGCTCCAAAAAGCCAGTGCAACAACAGAATATTTTGATACGTGCAAATATAGTGAAATGACTTAGTCAAGCTAATTGTTAATTATCAGCTTTATCTTGATCCTCGTAATTTAGAGTGAGAATTCTTAACATCTGCTCTTAGTAATTTTGCTGTTTGTAATATATTGTTATTGTCTGTCACCACAATGACATACAATAGATCTTGAATTACAATTGTCATTCATAAAGTTTGTTCTTTGACAACTTCACACAGGTATATAATGCATTTAGATTACTACTCCCTACCTTTTTTCCCCCTTCCATCCCTCCCTCCTCTCCCAGTCCCCCTTCATCCCTAGGAGTCTCTTTCCCATATTCATAGCTTCTTGTTTTGTGTCCCATCGTGTTTAATCTAGGCCTTGTATGTGACTATGATTCAGGAACTGTCCATTTGTACTACAAAATATATTGTTTTGCATATGATGTCATAATATCAAAATGAGTACTGTGTTACCTTTAAGATTTAGAACCTTCCATTTTACAGGAGTTTGGAACAGTTTGTATACTTATACAGAGATAAAATTTGCTCACTACAATTATGTCAAAAGAGTGTTTAAAGAAGTTTACACATATAGAATGCACCAAATTGGAAAACATTTCATTGAAGATAAGCAAAAGTAGAAATGTATCTTTAGTTTATCTTAGCATACATCAGTATTCATACCCTAAAATTATTGATTTTTCTTCAAAGATTGAGTCTCTCTCTGTCTCTCTCTGTCTCCTTCTCTCTCTCTCTCTCTCTCTCTCTCTCTCTCTCTCTCTCTCTCTCTCTCTCCACATTGGATTTTGAAAGTGTTTCTTGGGTAATTTCTCAAAGCAGGTTGGATCTTATTAATTTAGAAACATATAGAAATTAGTTGAATTGTATATGATTTTAAATATCAATGTTGTGTTTATACATTTTTGTTGAATGCACTCATCACTTTGGCATTTGGAATCTTAGCTTAGAATTTAGGTCTACTCCCAGTTAGACTCTGCCATTCCAGACTAGGCTAATGCTAGCTGATAAGGGGAAAGAGCTGGCTCTGGTTCTACTTCTTGTAATACCTAAAAGCAATATACAATCAAAAAGGCAGTTGAATTTATATTTCCACACTTGGCATTTTGTTCAATATGTAAACTGTCATTATTTTGTGTTTTGTGTAATAATATCAGTTACTATAAAATAATTTTTATAGTATGGAATATGACACTTAAAGTATCATACATTTTTAGCAACACCAGCTATCCTTTATCTCTAAGGTCCTTTTTAAAAATATTTTTTTTTATAATAAATTTAATTTTACATATCAGCCACGGATTCCCCTGTCCTCCCTCCTCCCACCCACCCACAGCCTTCCCTCCCAATTCACCCCCCATTCCCACCTCCACCAAGGCAAGGTGTCTCCTGGGGAGTCAGCCCAGCCTGGTAGATTCAGTTGAGGCAGGTCCAGTCCCCTCCTCCCTACACCAAGGCTGAACAAAGTGTCTCAGCATAGGCCCTAGGTTCCAAAAAGGCTGGAGGGATAGCTCAGCCGTTAAAGGCTAGACTCACAACTAAAAATATCTCTAAGATCCTTACTCAAGCTCAGCTTCAATTCCTCAAGCATCTGCACTCAGAAACCTGGAACAACAATGCAGCTCGTCTTTGATTTTATCTCCTAATGTTTAGTGTAGATCTTTCTTACATTTTTTTTAATCCTTAGGTATTTTCCTTGACTTTCAACAAATCTATTAACCAAGAATTAGAAGCAGATTAAAAGCTATCCACTCTTTCTCAAAGTTGCTAACTAGAAAAAAAATGATTTGTCCACAGAGATAGCAAATGAGATTTACCATCAACATCAATGTCACTTAAAATATGTGTTATGTTTTAGTGTTTTGTGAAAGGAGTCACACTTGGTCTTTATACTCATAAAGCAAACTGGCCAGCCTTATTGAGAAGGTTAAAAAAAAAAATGGTAAACTGTTTCTTGATCTGAACAGTCTTTCATATTTTTATTTCATGCATTGAATTCATGCAGTCCTGATGTTGCAAGAATGCTTGATTTGTCGTATGGGTTTTAAAAAGTATGACCTTATATTTTGGTGACAGATATTCCACATGACATATGACCTCGCCAGTGCCGTGGTGAGAATCTTCAACCTCATTGGCATGATGCTACTCCTGTGTCATTGGGATGGCTGTCTTCAGTTCCTGGTCCCCCTGCTTCAGGACTTCCCACCAGATTGCTGGGTTTCCCTAAATGAAATGGTTGTAAGTAACTCATGCTGTTTGTTTTCTGAATTTACAACATTGTGCCCAAAACTTCAAAGTATTTCTGTTAGCATTGTTTACTTTCTCTTCCATAAAGGCTTTGTTTTTGGATATGGAATTAGACAACCCAGACTTCTCTAAAGCTAAAACTTACTCTTGTATTCCTGGGAATGTAAATGCTGCTGCATCTATTTTCAAAAGTTTTACTTTAAATACTGAGATATGCTTTATATAAGTGACATAAACACACACACATAACCGTGATACAATGTGCTTTCAAATATTTTTATATTTGTAATTAGGTTAAGGATATCTCAGTGCATTTTGGGGTTAGAGCAAGGAAAATTAATGGGAAAGATAAGTTTTAATCTTCATTGTGCAGGATATGGAAATATTTTTAAATTTTAAAATATGATTTTATTTAAGCAAGTATAATAATATAAAAATTTAAGAAAATATCCACTGATGTGAAATCTCATATTCATTTGGCTCTGTCCTTCATTTCACCCACATCTGCTAATATTACTTCCTCAGAAACTTTTTCTAAAAGCCTTTGTTAAACTGTGTATCTATCTCCCAGTTGATATTTAATTATAAACACATTTAGTTTTTTGTAACCCCCCACACATGTGTATTCACAAATGTATATTCTTTATGTATACGTTTTCTGACCTTCACTGCCAAATTTAAGTTCAAAGAGATTTTTTTCCCTTTTCCTCAGTGCCATCCTAGCCTGTTTGTGCTGATATCTAAGAGTACTGGACTGGGTAATTTATAAAAAACCAGAAAATTATTTCTTAAAATTCAGGAGTTTGAGAAGCTCAAGACCAAGGCACTTCCATGTTCAGTCTCCAGCTGCAAAATGGCAGTTTGTGTCTAAATTTCCTGGAGAGAGGGAAAGCTATTTTCCCATGGCAGAAGGCAATATATTCACAAGGAATGACCTCTCATGTTCTACCCAACTTCCACCAATTTCCATCTGCCAACCTTGTCGAGTCTTGAATTAAATTTCCAAAGGGCAATTTTTGGGAAACATACTAGAACCAGAGAAGGTGGCCAAGAAAATACCTGACATTGTAATTTATTTTTAACCTACTTCATATCATCTTGATAAATATTGATAATATAAAACTTGATAAATATTATTTATTAAAATTTATACAGAACAGTGCAAGAAATTTGTATGGGTTGGATCCCTTTTCAAATTTCTGATGCTGCCTTCATCTGTCCACTTACTTATCTTTGAGGAAACAAAATATATGGCCAAGTGTAACATGAATCTTATAAGGTCTTATTAATAAAAAAAAAAAAACCCAGAGCCAGATATTGGGGTGAAAGCTGAAAGATCAGAGAAGCAGAACAAGCCATAGCCAACCTCACCTGGACAACTCATCCAATCCTGTTTCCATGAATCCTCAGACTGAAAGCTTCTGAGTCCTTACCTGAATGGATCTCAGCTGAACTGCTACTAAAAGCCTAAAAGCTTAAAAGCCTCTAGTTCCTGGTCCTCACACCATATATACCTTTCTGCTTCCTGTCATCTCTTCCTGGGATTGAAGGCATGTGTCTTTCCCAAAGAAGACATGAGCTCTCAAGTGCTGGCATTAAAGATGTGTGCCATCATGCCTGGCTTTGTTTCCAGTGTGGCCTTGAACTCACAGAGATCCGGATGGATCTCTGCCTCTGGAATGCTAGGATTAAGGGTGTGTGCTACCACTGTCGGGCCTCTATGTCTAATTAGTGGCTGCTCTGTTCTCTGACCCCAGATAAGTTTTATTAGGGTACACAATATATTGGGGGACACAATATATCACCATAGCCAAGGCAAGAATGAAAATACTGTCTGGGAGAGAAAGAGGAGACACTCTCTCATCAGGCTCCTGATGGAGCATAGAGCAGAAAGACAAGAACTAATGCCAGAGATGACGCATCACTGGCACAAATGCAATAATTAATTTGGCAAATAATTATTATTCAAAATTTTTCTAGTTACGTTCCAGAAAAATCACAGTTGCCATCACTGAAAAAGTAAAAGAATTCTTTTCAAATATCTAAAACATATGCACATAATTGTGTAATTATATTACAGGGCAATATATTACGTATTTGGTTCTAAGCAAATTTATTTAAGCATTTTATGCCTTTATTTCCTTTAAGATTGACTATATACAATTGTGTATGCCAAAGAAAGAGAGAGAGAGAGAGAGAGAGAGAGAGAGAGAGAGAGAGAGAGAGAGAGAGAGAGACACAGAGACACAGAGACACAGAGACACAGAGACAGAAAGGAGAGGTATTCCCGGGTATCAGTGTTTGTTGTATTGTGTTTAGTGGAATGTGTTTAAAACATCAACCTTCATTATTTCTTCTTTCTATATAAAATAGCTATATGAAGCTGCAAATCACTTCTTTGTCTCTTTTTGTTTGTTTCTTTCTTTCAGAAAACTGGAATTTTCAGAAATTATATGAATAAGCTGTTACACAGATAGATTATAGAGTCATAGGTACAGTTCATATGGATCTGACTCTAAAATGTCTATTCTGGAATATCTTTGACACAAGATAGTATAGAACGGTTAAGATTGATGATAAAAAGCAATCTTAATCACAGCCACAGTAACTGCTCTAAATTCAGTATTTGATTTCCGATACAGAAAAAAAAAAAAGCCAAACTGATGTTTTTCTCTATTTGTTGAAATATCTAATTTGAAAGTAAAAACTTGAGACTAGAAATCAAGTTGTGTATAAGACACATGAGTCTTTCATAAATATGGCATGATAATTAGGCCATGATATTTATCTTTGCCACTACATTAATTTCATGCCCTTAAGTATTATTAAGAAACTGCATACATATCAAAATTCTGTACCCAAATTTGCTATATATCCTGATGTTTCTATGTTTATATTCAGTTAGCTATTTATTAGCATATAACCTATGATGAGAAATTCCTGTTCCAGTCTTTGATTAGAAATTTGAAGTTACCACCGTAACTATGCTATACACTTTTACTGTGTTTAATATAATACAATTGGTTTGATATAGTCATTGTTATGTTAACTTTTTCTAATTTATATTTTGTTCCATGAAAATAGTCTTGATTCCTGTCAGCTAATTTCTTTGCTCATAACTTTATAAATTGTAAAGTGATTCTTATAACATTATATTGAAGGAGTCAATACAGGAACTCAGTTGCTGACATTATGAAGAGAAGGAAGAAGCTGACTTGGGAGCTGCAGCAAGAACAGGGATTCATCTTGTTAGACATTTGTAATACTTGCTCTTATTCCGTTTATGAACGGAATTTGAATTACAAAATTCTTTCTGAATTAAGATCTTAGGTTTGGCAGATAATTAATGTCTAGGAAAATTTGTTACATTCCCATGATATCTTGTGGTTATGATTGCTTGTAGAAAGCACTGAGAATATATTAATTTATTATAAAATTATTGAGGGTAATAGCAATAGATTCTATTTCAAATGAGAAATATTAATTTTAAGAACATGACAAGATAAGACCATAGTATAATTTAAATTGCTTATTAACTACCTGAATCTAAAATACTTCCACACTGTATGAAATATTATTGTGACATAAATATCTTGCAGTGAAACATTACTTTTCTAAAATAAGCTTTTCCATGATTGGGGCCTTCAAGTTATACTTAGGCAGTCCATCTCTTCTACCTACAGTCTTTCAGATGAATAGTTTCATGTTGGTTAACATCCCAAAGGCTTTAATGTAAGCATATTATGACTCCAAAATGTTCTGAACACTCCACATACAGAGTTTGAATTTACTTTTGTAATTTGGAACACGCAATACCCAAAAGTGTTACATCGCATAAAGTTAGTTTATGGACATACTATGACATAATATGCAAATAATCCATGTGATCAAATGTAGATAAATGACATGTTAAATAATGTGTAACATTTTCACAACAGTAAGATGGAGAATCTGTTAGAAACTTAAGGTGCACAACACACAGTGCTGTTATGATGAATCATGCCCTAGAAAAAAAAACAGTCTCATTATGGCAGTATATTTATAATGGAGGCAGTTACTTGATTACAGCAAACTTTCTAAATCAAATAGATTTACACTAAATTGTGTTAGTTTTATTATTTTGGTAGCATTTGACTTAAAATTTTCATTTTGTAAGTTATATGAGATTATTTTTTAAGTATTAAATGTCTCCTCTTTTACTGAAAATAGATTTTTTTTCTCACATAATATACCTGGTAACAGTTCCCCCTCCCTCTTCTCTCATTTGCTTCTCTCCTCTCTTCCCATTCAGATCCACCCCTTTTCTGTCTCTCAAGACAAACAGGCAGACTGGAGAGATGGCTGAGCTGTTAAAGGGTAGGCTTGCAACCAAAAATATAAAGAGACAAACATGCTTCTAAGGGATAATGATATAAAATAATAATGTTTATAAATTAAAACAAAAATTAACACATCAGAATTGGTCAAGACAAACAAAGAGAAGAAGAGAACCCAAGAGAAGGTACAAGAAACAAACCAACTCATTCATACACTCAAGAATCCTATAGAAACACTAAACTGAAAGTCATAATATATATGCAAAGGAACTGTATGTTAAAAAGAGAGAAAAATAAAAATAAATAAAAAACAATAAGTTAAAAAATTAAAAGCCTTGTCACATTATGAGATGAGGAACCTCCAAAGATGCTGTTGAGTTCATATTATGTTGGCCATCTACTACTGTACATGCAGACTACCCTCAGGAGTAGGGTAGTTTCTCCAGTGAGACTCCCTTGAGGGAACTACATTTTAATTTACAAGTGGTTATCAATTGGAGAGTGCTTCTGTGTTAGAGATAGGGGTATGTGTCCACATCTTTCATTTTATTTTATACTGAGCTCATTCTTATGCTGTGTAGTTAGAGTTTTTTTTGTCTGGCCCACAGTTAGGACAAATCTCTCTTACCTGTTAGTTTCATAGTCGCTCAAACCCGACCAAGTAAACATAGAGAC